TTTGAGGTAAAACGCTCTTTCATTTAAACTATGAAAATTATGGGGTCAGTTTGACTTCATCTTTTTCAAAATTAAAATTAACGTCCTTCCGAAGCGGGCAACGGGATTTCAATTCCGATGACCGACAGCTTCTTACGGGCAAACCCCACACCAAAAATAGTGCCGACACCTATATACGTATTTAATACCTAAACTTCAATTTTTACACATATGTCAACTTACCTATGCATGATAATATGTATTTCACTTTTTAAAAATTAAAATAGTAATATTTTTTATTATGATATGAAATCTTTTAGTGGTATAAATATAAAAAATAAAGTTTTTATATCAGACTTATAAATACATAAGAATAGAGTGTTAGGCATTTAAATGTCTTTAATAATTAAAGCCAATATAAATGGGGCCTACCAAACATACCCAATTCATAACTAGCATACTATAATCTAGTCTAGATTAGCTAATCCATGCAATGCCAAGTGAAATCAAGTTTGAAATAATTCAAGTAATGCATAACATAATTAAGCAATTCCAAGCTAGTCATGCTAAATGCAGGCTTCTTTATTATGTTAGTTGAGATCTTAATCTCTTAACAAAGAGGTCTTGAATTCAAGGACTTACATTTGCAATTTGTGTTTATAAATAAAATAAGGCTATTATATCAAAGTAAAAGAATATGAAGTCAAGTTAATCCACACCATCCAAATTAGGCTATGTCAAGCTATGTAAATTGTAAAGTGAGGCCAACAAAATCCTGCAATTAAAAAAGATTGATAGGTTTGCTCATCATATTTACGAATGCATACAAAGACGTACAAATTGGAGGGGAAAGATCATGTTCTCACGACCATACACTAGAAACTACATTTCTAGGAAAATTTGAAAAATGAAGAAATGCAACAAAGTACCTTAGCTTTTGTTAAAAAGGAAGAAACTATTGGTATCATGAACCTCATGATACCTTCAGTGAGAGGGTCGATAGCAAATGAATGAAACAATAATTTTTTTTCTTTAGGGCTAGAAAATATTAAAATGTCGTCTTCTTCATTCAACTTCTTAGACCTTTAGAGCCACCTATAGATGTCAGTGCGGCAACTAAGCGACTGAGGAGTGCTAAAAGGCTGTAAGACGACTTGGTGCAAGTTGTGATTAAAGTGTGGAGAGATTAAAGCTTCGTTTGAATGAGGTTCCCATTCAACAAATTTTCTTTAAAAGTCCCTTCTTACGAATAGAGTTGGCCAGCTACAATCTGAAAAAGGTAAAAAATTATCGTTCTTGCAATACAACTTCTAGGAAAGTTCGAAAGATGCTTCTTCACTAAACAAAAATTTATCAGGTGTACTTCACCGCCTTCTCAAACAATGCCCAAAAGCCCTAAATGAAAGAAAAAAAAAAATTGGGATTGAATTTGAAGATTCGGGCAGCCTTGAGTTTGGAGATTCTTATTTTAAAGTTTAGATTTTGGATTTATCTTGCAAAAAATCAAAATTTGAGTTCTCCAATAGATGTGGAGATCAAATGTGTTGTAGACACTAAGGGTCCGTTTGGGGCAGTCTGTGCGTTTCAAGATAAGCTGTTTATCCTGAAACGCAGCCCCCGGGCCGGCCGCAGGGGCCGACCCGCGGCCCGCGCTTAGTATAAAAATCCAAATGCAGTTTCAGATAGGCTGGCGAAATGCGTGAACCAAATGGTACGACGGCGTTTTGACCGCACTTATAAGCTGCCCCAAACAGATCTTAAGCAAAACATAGAACATTAGGCTTAAGTAAGAAAAAAAATTAGATTTTAAAATTTTATTTTAATATAAATATTTAAATTTTTTTTTCTTAAATGAAAAAAAAAAATCAATAATCAATAACTAAATATTGATCTTTCTAAATCCAAAAATCAAAATATTTCTTAAAATTGAATCAAATCATTTAAATATGTATTATTAAAAAATATATAAGTATATATTAATTTCAAATTTTAAAAATCCTTAAAACATCAATAATAATATTTTAATTTTTTCTTATAATACAAGAATAAATATTTTATAAAAACTATAAATAAACATATAAACCGTTAGTCTTCAGGTCAGCATTTCCAGAAGCCAATTGAACCTTCCCGCCATCTCTCGAATCTTCCAGAACATAATGCCCTAAAGCCCATCTTCCTCCCCCTTTTTATTCCTCCCGAATCCTCTCTCAAAACTCAACAGTGTTAGAACCAAGAAACACAAACAATGGATGCAAGAATCTTCCGATTGGAGAATCCCCTCTTCTCTGCGCTGCAGCACCTGGTAGAAGACCAGCCGGGCGATGTAGACAAAGCCCTCAACGCCCCAACGAGGACCTATGTGCGCGACGCACGAGCAATGGCTTCAACGCCGGCCGACATAAAGGAGCTGCAATCAGCCTACAAATTCGTACTCGATATGCCTGGAGTGAAATCCGGCGAGATCAAGGTTCAGGTCGAGGATGGCAACATGCTCGTCATTACGGGTGAGCGCAGCCGGGATGAGGACGACAAGGAAGGCAACGGTAAGTTCATTCGATTGGAACGAAGGGTGGGTAAATTCATGCGCAAGTTCTCTCTTCCGGACAACGCAAATCTGGAAGCGATATCTGCCGTCTGCCGCGATGGGGTTCTGACCGTAACCGTGCAGAAGCTGCCGCCGCCGGAGCCCAAGAAGGTGAAGACAATAGAGGTCAAGATTGCTTGAATCGACTTGTTTGTTTGAAATCCTTGGCTTTGTTCGACTGTTTTTACTACGTGTCTGTTGATGTTTTGTGTTTTGGCATTGGTCTGAGATCGGATTCTTGTAATCTAGTCTCATTCCGACCGGGTTTTGTCGTTCTGTGATTGTTCGTAAACAATTTTAAATCGTATGATATGATATGTTGCGATGTTGCGCTTTTTTATGAGATTGGAAGGATGCCTCAGTTGAATCCTGCAAATCCTGTACCTGCTAAATTATTGTGAGTTTAATAAAAATGGAAAATATGTTTTGGGGTTTTATATTAATTTTGATATTTGAGCGAGAATTTGAGAAATAGATCAAAGAGAGCGCACGGCTTGTAAATAGGAGGTGCATAAATAAGGGTGTAAACGAGCGGTAGCACGAGCGAGCTCAGGCTTAGCTCGTGTTCGACTCGTTTTTGTTTCAAGCTAAAAAAGTGTCTTCGTGAGCAAACGAGCCGAACAAGAGTCGTTCACGAACAAAAAATTGTTCGAGTCAATATTTAAAACATCATTTGAATCTAATTTAATAATTTTTATATTCTTAATTAATACTTTTAATTGATTATAAATCTTTATAGTCATGTTATCAATTAACTTTTTTAAAATAATACTCATTAATATATATATATATATATAATTATAATTGATTAGTATTTCAAGTCAAAACGAGCTGAACAGGAATGAACAAATGTTGGTTCGTGTTATTCGTATTTGTTATTTTGAACCTCAATTATTGAACTAAAGTAAAATAACACTTTTGTAATGTGGTACCGCTCACCTACAACATCTCACATATCTCTCACCTACTGCTCACATATATCTCACCTACCACTCTTTTGCTTATATAAATAGAGAGGGTGTGAGACTTAGGAGTGAAAAGTGAAGATATCTTAAGCTACCACAAAGAAGGAGAGAATAGCTAGAGAGCTAGAGAGGATGAGAGCATCTTGAGGCCTTGTATCAAGGTGTTGTTTGAGAGGGAGGTCATAGAAGGAAGATGAGGGCTCATCTCTATGTATAAACTATGTATTCTCCATTTCTTTTGCCTTAGTGAACTATTTGATTGATTCCCTCCTGTGGATGTAGATCCAGTTGGATCGAACCACGTAGATGATCTGTGTTTGCTTGTGTTCTTTGCGTCTCATTTTTATGCCAGAAAGTATATATCTCATAACAATTGACGTCGTCTGTGGGAAGATCTGTACTTCTTGGCTAGAGGTGTCCGCGTAAGGTGTTCGCGGCCAGCGACGAAGAAGAGGTGCAGGCAACCGAATCACGACGGATTCGGTGAGTAGTCGAAGTTTTGATCGACTGGATTCGCACCGCAAGTTGTGCAGTTCGGAGAGACGAAGGAGGAATAGTCCGCGGGCGAGGGCCAAAAATTTGTGATAGGGCTGCCAGCAGAAGATTTCGGAGCAAGAGTTCGGTCTTGCGAGCAGCTCGGCCAGAGGGAAGAGGCGGAGATCGCGCAGAGAAGGGTTCGAGGAGTTCCCTGTTTGGGAGTTCGCGAAGCAGGAGGACCTGAGCAGTTGAGCAGCAGTTTAGCGAGGCGCGACGACTCTGGAGAGGCAGTTATTCTCGTGCGAGAGGCAGATGAGGAATTCATGATTTGTTCCACTGGAAGCAGAGGAGTGCCTGCTGTAAGGAGGCGTGAGCACAGAACATGAAGTTTTCTCCGGTGAACAGGTGTGATCTCTGTCAGAAGGGATCGGAGCTCTCCGTTAGGTTGGTGAAGGGAGTGGAGTTCACGGAGAGAAGGCAAGAAATTTGGTGAGAATTTCTTGGACATTAATGCGTTAAAAGGCAGGTTTAGGCTGAAAACTTTTGGTTGTTATACAATAGTACAACATTTTGGTGATTTTTGCCTAGTTCTTGGAATGACAACAGGTAGAATTCATTGGAAGAAATCTTAGCCATGACAATGAGTTCCTCCAAATTCGAAATTAAGAAATTCAACGAGAATAACGATTTCGGTATATGGAGAGTAAAGATGAGAGCTCTATTGGTTCAGTAGGGGGTTGCAAAAATCTTGCAATGGTCGACGACATTGCCGGCTGACATGACCGAGAAGGAGAAGATCGACATACTGGACAAGACCCACAGTTTAATAATCCCGAGCTTGGGCGACAAAGTTCTGCTGAGGGAGGTGTCGAGGGAGGTGTCGAGGGAGACAACGACTCAAGCACTTTGGGCCAAACTCGAGGTACTCTACCTGACAAAGTTTCTAGCTAATAAGCTCTTTCTGAAGTAGCGCGTATACTCCTTCAAAATGCATTAAGACAAATCCGTCTCTGAGCAGATCGACGAGTTCAACAAGATAATCGACGACCTCGACGACCTCTTCAACAAGATCATCGACGACCTCGAGAACATCGACGTCAAGATGGACGATGAGGACAAGGCACTACTATAAACTCTATCTATTCCTAGGAGCTACGAGCATTTCAAGGACGCGATGCTCTATGGAATGGTGCAGACTATTATTCTGGAGGAAGTTCAATCTCTGATTAGAGCAAAAGAACTTCAGAGGAAGCATGACAAGGACAAGGAAGTCAGCGAAGACAGTCTTATTGTCAGAGGAAGATCAGATAGGAAAGATTCAAGAAATGGTCAGTACAGATCAATGTCAAGCAAGGATGGTCGGAATCAGTCATCAAGGGGATCTTTCAAGTGCTATCATTGTCTCAAGGACGATCATTTCAAGAGGAACTGCCCAGACATGAAGAATAAGTACCAAGAAGAGCCAGAAGAATCAGGAGAAGCAATCGTAGCCTCTGATGACTACGATTCTGCTGAGGCCCTCGTGATCACAGAATCTGAATCCAGTAAAGAGTGGATCCTCGATTCAGGGTGTTCTTTCCACATGTGTCCTCACAAAGACTGGTTCGAGACACTGCAACAGGAAAATGATGGGTCCGTTCTACTGGGAGACAATAAAGCTCACAGGGTTGTTGGAAGTGGATCAATCAGGATAAGGATGTTTGATGGAGTTGAACGAGTACTGAAAAATGTCAGGTACATACCAGAGCTTAAAAGAAATCTGATTTCTTTAGGTACGCTGAAGTCAAGCAGATGCTCGTTCAAGGCAGAGAATGACTGCATTAGAGTAACCAAAGACCCTCATGTTGTCATACAAGGAGTCAGGAAAAAGAGGTTGTACTCTCTTATCAGAAGAACCGTGATTGCTAAGTCCATGTACTGTTTGGACTTTACAAACTCAAGCAAGGGCTGAGGGCCCCTCAGGGGCCAAGTGGAGGGAATCTTTACTTTAAAACTTTTCAATTGAGGGTCAAGGTGGAGAATTGTTATTTTGACCCTCAATTATTGAACTAAGGTAAAAGGTCACTTTTGTAATGTGGTACCGCTCACCTACCACATCTCACTTACCTCTCGCCTATCGCTCACCTACCTCCCACCTACCACTCTCTTGCTTATATAAATAGAGAGGGTGTGAGGCTGAGGAGAGTAAGTGAAAAGGGAGGAGATCTTAAGCTACCACAAAGAAGGAGAGAATATCTAGAGAGCTAGAGAGGAGGAGAGCATCTTGAGACCTTGTATCAATGTGTCGTTTGAGAGGGAGGTCATAGAAGGAAGATGAGGGTTCATATCTACGTATAAGCTATGTATTCTCTATTTCTTTTGTCATAGTGAACTATTTGATTGATTCCCTCCCGTGGATGTAGATCCAGTTGGATCGAACCACGTAAATGATCTGTGTTTGCTTGTGTTCTTTGCGTCTCATTTCTATGCCAGTAAGTACATATCTCACAATAGTGTTTGACTCTTTAACTTAGCGAACGAGCCGAACACAAGTTTCTTAACGAGCTGAATACGAGTTGTTCGCGAACAACGAGCCATCTTGACAACTCTATGCGTAAATGATCCAAACATTAGCAAGCTAAGGCTCAATTCTTGTCTGTGATTCATTAAAAAATATTAATGCTTATTCGTGTTCGATTCAATTATATTTTAAAAATAAAAGTGCGTTTGGGTTTGGCTTGAATGTTTTGAGTGTCCTTTCTTTACATAATTGTTAGGATTTACTTGCAAACGATTTTAAACTATAATTTAAGTAAAAATTAATTAGAGCTTTTGTTCAAAAATCTAATCTAATTAAAAAATCATTGGAGCCATTATGTAAAATAAATTTAAAAATTTTAATTAGTTTTTTTTTTAAAATTTTTTTGTGGTGAAAGCATATTTACCTAAACATCAAAATCCAACTAATAACTCTCATCAAAATTAGATTATTTTATTAAGAAAATCAATGTTAAACAACACAAACAAATATTTAGAAATCTTTATGATAAAGTAATGATATTTTAAAAACTATTTTTTTTTAAAGAGTCTTGTACGCGCGCGTGTGGTAAGTGTGTTGCGTTATTCGACTCCTCTTTAGTTGACATTTGTTATGTTAGTTTTAAATCTCTTGGGTTGGAGACTTGATCTCGCCAGTGTTTCTAAGTCTTCTGGGATTTGGGATTCGATCTTGCTGGTGTGTAGATCAATTGAGTGGTTAGACATGTGAAAATATAGTCCTTACCCATTATGTATAAAACAAGGTTTGGTATTATTGTTGCAGCAAAGATGAGAGAAATTGAAAGAGAAAAAATGAGGTTAGTTGGTTGAGCCTGATCAATGAGACAATTCATGATGCTAATCTTTATGATCTCAAAAAAAAAAAAAAAAAATTACAAATTATAAAAAAAAGCCTTATCAAGTTTGGAATAACATTCTTAAATTTTAATTTATTACTTTTCTACTTAATTTTGCAAAGATTTTTTTTTAAAAAATAAATTATTAAAAATCATATTATTATTTTTTTTCATACCAAATCTCATAAGCAATAGTTGGAATATCTAAAAGGTAATTTCTCTTATGAGTGTTTTTTAAAATATTATTATTAATAAAATAACTCTCAATAGAGATATAATTCTTTAATCTATGAGAAAATGGATATTCCATGAATAAATGAAAATAAATATTAAATAGTAGAAATGCCACAAATTTTAAGACAAATATTAAATTTTTTTTTTAAAAATAGAACCAAATTAATAAAACTGCGTTTATACAGAACTAATTTGTTCGACTGTCAAATGATAAATACTTTTGTTGCTGTAGTCACTTTCTTTACAAAGGCAACTGTGAGAGTCATCAATAAAAGGGATGTTATGAATAAAAAAAGTTTATAATAAATCAGAATATTTCAATTTTGAGGCCATTAACAAAGACATATTTACTTTTAATAAATTTTGGTAAATGGAAACATTGAAAAATTATATTGCCATATATCTCATAAAGAGGATCTCTTAAGCTAAGAATCAAAAATAAAAAAGAAGGTTGCTTTTAGTATTAACACGAAAGATACTAAATCTTCTAATTTTAAAAGCAACTTTGATTAGGTCTTTCCAAAAAGCAGCAATTTTAGATCGAGTATTGATCTAAAAAGTATCATAGTTATCCACACTCTCCTTAGCTAAAGAAGAGTTAAAGTTGAAATGCCTCAAAATTAATACTATCTAAAGAAGGGATATCGAGTCCTCCAAGAACTTTAGGTAGAGAAGTAACTTTCTAAAAAATATGTGTTATTTTAATCTCACTATTATTGTGGAAATGAAAGTTACTAATTAAATACTTGATTAATTGAAAATGACCAGCAATAAATAAATTTTTTTGCTTCCAAACAACCAACAATTTATGAAACTTATTAATAATAATATATTAATACATTACGATGAGTTGAAAATAATAGTTATACCAACGTATTTTTAATGTAGATATTTGATATTCATTCCACTAATATTACATAAAGTCTGCTACAGAATATAATTAATATCCTTGGAATAACAAATAACTAAGGCTATAATCGAGCCGAGCCGAGCTGAGTATATCATAATTTGGACTTGGCTTGATACAGTTATTGTTCTTGTTTGACTGAGTTTGTATTGAGCTTTCACATATTATTCAAGTTTGGTTTGTTTAAATTTTTCTTATGTTTGAATTTGGTTTTTACTTAATTTATTTATGACAAGTGAACGAGTATTTAAACGAGCTAAAAATTCAAATGAATATCTTGTTTTTATATAAATATATAACAAATAAAATTACAAATATGCATAAATAATCAATTGAATAAATTTTATAAACAAATGAACTAACCCACACGTTGTAATCTAGTATATTTAATAATTATATTCTCACAAGAATGAATTCTAAGATAGAGAAGAAGATATTGAAATAAGAGAAAGAAAATCTAAATGAATTAGTATTACAAAGTAACTGATAATGTGAAACCATTTATCAATTGTAAAAATAATTGAGAAAAATTAATTACAAACAAATCAAGCATAATAAAAAGAGAATGAACAAAAAGTGAAGTTCATTTAAAAAAATTCTATTGGGTTAATTTCCAAATAGCTAATCATTTATATTAAAATAAACATATAGTTAATAATTAATCTAAAAATATTATTGATATAATAATATATTAATATTAAATTTACAATTAAATTAATTATAAAAAACATAAATTTTATTTAAAGAATGTTTCATATATGGTACAAGCTATATTTGAGTTTAATATTAAATATTTAATAAGTTACTTGTTGAACAACAAATGAGTTGTTTCATAAATATAAATAAAGAAGTTCAATTATATTCATGTTTAGTTCATGTAAGATTCAAGTTTTTACAAATTGTTCATGTTTTTTTGTTTATTAATTTGAACAAACAAAATCTAGTTTTAATCAAGTCGGGTTTGAATTGCTCATATAGTGCAATGTTTCATTTAAAACCCTACAGATAACATACGTAAGTTGACAACTAAGGGTGCGCTAATGACTTTAACTGTTTTTTCAAGAAGCTGCTTCTTGGAGAAGCACCTTTTAGGAGCTGTCAGAAAGCAGCTGTTGAAGAAGTATGTGTTTGTTTGAGAGATCTATTGTGTTGCTGTTGTTTCTGTTAAGAAAGACTCTTTTAACTTATATTTATGTAATGTATTGAAATAAATATAATTTTAAGAATATTATTTGTCTTAAATTTTTTTTAACACATTAGAAATAGCGACGTAATTTTTATAATTTATTAGATATCTTTTTTTTCAATTTGCATTGCTGCCCTCTCTTCCACGAAAAACATGTATATATATTTCAATGATCCTGATAGGACTACACACAAATTTATGTGTCATATCCTTGCACACAAATTTACGTCTTACTCTTCCAGTGTTCAATCCGGCCCTTCCAGAAGCCATTAGAAGCTTCTCGTCCCCTCCAGACTCTAGTAGAATAAACTCCGCCAGCATCCAGCCCTATTTATTCCTCTGCTCACCAGAAGCTCCCTCATAGAGAAAAAATTAAGAAAGAGAAACAGAGCAAGAATCCATGGATGCACGGATTTACAGGCTAGAGGACCCACCCTTCTCTACGCTGCGGCATTTGGTAGAGCTGCCGGAAGAAGTGGAGAAAGCCTTCAACACTCCGACGAGGAATTATGTTCACGACGCACAAGCGATGGCTTCCACACCGGCAGACGTCAAGGAGCTTCCGTCGGCCTACGAATTTGTTCTCGATATGCCTGGAGTTAAATCTGGCGAGATCAAGGTTCAGGTTGAGGACGGTAACTTGCTAACCGTTACTGGTGAGCGTGGCCGGGAGGAAGATGACAAGAAAGGTGGGGGGAAGTATCTTCGTTTGGAACGGCGGGTGGGGAAATTTATGCGTAAGTTCTCGCTACCGGACAATGCCAATGTTGAAGGAATAAACGCGATCTACCGCGACGGGGTGTTGATCGTTACGGTGAAGAAGCTGCCGCCTCCCGAGCCGAAGAAGACAAAGACAATCGAGGTGAAGATTGCATGAATAGGTTAGTTCATCTGAAGTTTTAGGGTTTGTTTGACTGTCTTTGCAAGGTGTGTTTGAGTTTTTGTGTTTGTATGTGGATGGATGGTTTTGGTTTCTTGTTTTACCAATTGCATTTTATCAGTTTATACTATTGAGTAAAAAAATTCTGTGCGTTGTCTAGTTTGGCAAGCTTGGTTTAATTCTACGGATATGTTATTGGATCGTTTATCCGCTAAACAATGTTTTGAAAATCTGCTAAAAGATGTTTTGAGAAAAAATTAATCCTGAAAGGTAAGAAAGTACAATGGGGGCATTGATCCTAAGAAAACTATGTTTATCGATGGCCAACTGATCTGGTTTTAGGGGGAAGTTGGAGTGAATGTGAGGCGGGCCGATTGGGGCCTCTCGGCGCTGATGAGTTCTTCGGGAATAAGTGACTGTTGATATTTCGACATCGCATCTTTTTCTTGTTGGAAGTGTTAATCTGACGCGGGTGGCTTCAACGGTAGTTTATTCGCAATTTCGATGCTCTTTTGAGATCAAAGTGTGCCATATGCCTGCTCACTCTGTTACCTTGACATTCCCTTATAGGGTGTTCTTCAAGGAAATGATGGGAAGATCTACATAGCACTCGATTTCAGTCGTTTACGTTTATCTGGTGTTTTCTGTTTAAATAAGTTCCACTCGATTAACTAAATTACAGAAACTCCATATCAAATTTGAGATAAACATTTCAGCCATATCTTTTTATCTGAATAAAAAAAAAGAGATTTACATGAGAGACACTTTATTCTCATGTATTTACATATCTAACAGCTCAACTTCAATTTATACAGGCATCACTGTACTAAGATGTGGAAAAGAGTATTTTAATTTTTAAAAGATAAAAGAGTGGTATTTTGGATATGATTTGAAAATTTGTTTGGTTTAAATGGTAAAATGTAAAATTTAGGTGCTAGGTATTTGAATACATTAAGATTAGGTGGTTATGTGCCTAGGTGCTCCTATATTTTCTAGAATATTTACCTATCTAATTCCTAAATTTTAATTCAAACATATGTAAGTATATAACCGAACAACAATAATGCTTTAATCTCACTGCGTGGGGTCGGCTACATGAGTCTTTTTTTTTTTTTCCATTGTGTCCTATTTAGTGTTCCATTGTGTCCTATTTAGTGTCATTTAGTGTCATATTTTCATTTAGTTCTAATAAATTAAGATCCTTTTTTATACAATAAGCTCAAGTCTTCTGAAGTTTACATTTGTCTTTCTTAACATAAGTCGAATCTAAAACATCTACTCTCTTAATCGTATCATCAGACGGAAGACGACTCTCGCTAATTTTGTCCGTCACTGGAGCTACACCAACCCTATCACAAATATATTTATTTTGCATTTTATCTCTAAGTGTAAAGCCACTCATCCACCTAATCAATGTCATCTCGGCAACACTTAACTTAATATTATGCTTCTCTTTTAAAGGCCAACAATCAACGTCATAGAGCATTGCAGGTCTCACCACCATTTTATAAAATTTTTCTTTCAATCTAAGTGGTATTTTTCTATCACACAAAAGGCCCGAAACATTTCTCCACTTCAACCAACCAACTTGAATTCTACTATCAACATCCCATCTATATCACAATTGCTTTGAACAATAGGGCCAATGTATCTAAATCGTTCACACCTTTTAATAATTTGATCACCCAAAGTTACACTTCTGTCACTAGAGCTAATATTATTAAAATTTTACTAAAATTACATTCCATGTATTTTGTTTTAGTTTTACTTAAATGAAGACCTTTAGCACATGAAGGTCTACATACTCTAATGTAGACCTCTGTAATTCAAATTTTTCTTGAGCTTTTTCTCTCATCTTATCCACAAGAAAGATATCATTAGCAAAAAACAGATGCCAAGGTACATCCTCCTGTAAATGTCTAGTAAGACCATCACTAAAGCAAAAAGATGCTTAAAGCCGATCCTTGATGTAATCCAACAAAAATAAGAAAATATTTAATCAATTCTCCTTAGGTTCGAACATAAGTAACAACTCTAGTCTGCATATCTTTAATGGCTTGAATATAAGTCATATTATCACCTTTCTTCTAAAGAACTCTCCAAAGGATATTTCTTGTAACCTTATGATAAGCTTTTTCTAAATCAATAAAAATCAAATATAGAGCCTCCTTATTTTCTTTGAACTTCTCCATCAATCATCACAATAAATGTGTAATTTCTATAGTAGACCCGTTCGAAATAAATTCAAATTGATTATGAGAAATATTAATAATACGTCTTAACATATATTTAATTACCCTCTCCCATAATTTTAAAGTATGACACATCAACTTAATTATTCTATAATTTGCACTCTTGTGCATTATCTTTATTCTTAAAAATAAGGACCAAAATATTCTTTCTCCACTCCTCAGACATCTTTTTAATTTTTAAAATAATATTATAAAATTTAATAAGCTAAGAAACTCCCAAATCTCCTAAATCTTTCCACACTTCAATTGGGTTATCATCATGTCTCATAGAATTTCCATCCTTGGTTTTCTTTAAAGCCTCATCAATTTCTTTTTTACTAATGCGACGGTAAAAATAAAACATTTTATTATTATTAATGATATTATGATCACTAAGAATGGTTGTTTTTTCAAAAACTTCCTTAACAAAATTATTAAAATAACTCACCCACTTATGTTGAATATTTTTATAAGAAAAATATTTTTTGATTTTCATCTTTAATACAGTTTATTTGAGCTGAATTTTTATTTTTTTTTAGTGTCACAGATTGCTCTTTTAGACTCTCTGCGGGCTATTTGATATTTTTTTCAGTTCTCTAAGTTTTTGCATTTAAACAAATTTTTCTAACATAACTTCGTATAGTTTATTTTTTCTTGCACATTATTATTCTATCACAAACTATTTTTATTTTTTTTAAGTGTCGCAGATTGCTCTTTTAGACTCCTGCGGGCTATTTGATATTTTTTTCAGTTTTCTAAGTTTTTGCATTTAAACAAATTTTTCTAACATAACTTCTTATAGTTTATTTTTTCTTGCACATTATTATTCTATCACAAACTATTTTTATTAAATGTTTTCTTTTGATTCTTCAAGTACATCTTTTACTACTTGTTTAATAGAATTTTTAACTTTATTCCACATAGCATTTGCTTCTTCATGAACATCCTAAATTTTGAAATCTTAAATTTTATTCATAAAAATAATTTTATTTGTGTCTTTTAGGTTCTCTCATCTATTTTTACAATGATGAGTCATAATATTCTTTATTTTATAACTTTTCATCTTAAAATCTAAAACTAATAATCAATGTTGGCACTTAAATACTCACTTGGATGATCTTACAATCTTTACAATCCAGAAGATCTCTTCTTTTCATAAGAAAATAATCAATTTGTGTTTTATTAGATCTATTCTTATAAGTAATAAGATGCTTATCTTTTTTCTTGAAAAAATCCTTAGTAATAACAAAATTATAAGCTAAAGCAAAATCTAAAATGACTCTATCTTCTTTATTAGTCACTTCAAAATCGTAGCCACCATGCAAATTTCTGAAATCTCCTACCATTCTACTGACATGTCTTTTTAAAATGCTTCTAATAAAAATTCTTTCTTCAAGAGATATCATTTGTATTAAGTCTTCTAAGTCATTACTGAATTTATTTTTAGACCCTATATTTAAACCTACTTGAGGAGCATAAACACTTATAATATTAAATCTTAGTATCAATAATAATCCTAAGGGTTATAATTCTATCTCCAGTTGTATTAATTTTTACAATATTATTTTTCAAACTCTTATCTATAACTACACCTGCACTATTTTTAGTGCGACTTTTATCAAATTATTAAAGTTTAAAATTTAAATTATCAATCTTCTTAGGCTTTTCTCCAACTCATTTAATTTCTTGAATACATAAAATATTAATCTTTCTGTGAATTATAATATCAATTAATTTTATTAATTCACCCATTGAGAGTACCTATATTTCATGATCCTATCCTAATATTAGTTTAATTAGTTTCAAGGACTAATTTCTTAACCCTCATTCATCCGTAATGTGAGAATCCTTGCTTATTTGACATCACACTCGTGCGTCGGTGTAGCGGCCCTTACACACTTTTTACTGTATTTAGGTTATACAATACGTCGCTTCCAGAGGACGCCCTAATATTTATATAATGATCAAAATGATTTATGTCATGATTTTTTTGACAAGTTTTAAGTTAAATGTCGACTACCTAACACAACTCTTTATTTTTCATATCCCGACTTGGGACCTGCAATGATAGTGCCATGTAAGTATAAATATATACGGTAAAAATTTTAAAATTATATTCTTTTATAAGATACATTCTATTTTTTAAAGCAGTTAGATTTCATTAATTTACCACTAAATTTGATGAAATTTTTTTTTAATCTAACCAGAAGTATGTTAAAAAAATTTGTGATATTGATGTCCAACTGATGTTATGTTATATAGAATTAACTGTGTATATGATGATCACATGCCCAAATGTGTCGGGAAATATAGATTGATTGCGTTTTATCCCATACTTTATATCAAAAGTTGAAAATTTAATACTTTAAGCTTTGAAATATGATTTTTGAAGTATATTTTGAATATATTATGTTATTTTTCTATAATCAAGAAGGATTTATTATAATTAATGTTGTTGATGATGATATGATTAGAATTGTTCTAATAGAAGTTTCGAGCGAGATAATAATTTTATTTAATAAAATTGTTAAAATAATCTCAAATTTATTAATTACCTTGTTCGTACAAGTATTTTTATTTATGATTTTTTAAGGATTTGTAGCACCACAAAAAATTTAAAAGAGATTTCGACATTAAATTTACAATTATCTTCAATTTTTGAAGTCTATGAGATAATGAATAATTGGTTAAGTGATAATAACAATGATACTGGTAGTGAGTTATGAAGAAATTGAAGAGCATAATAATGCAAAGATATATAGGCATAAAC